CCCACAAAGTGGAGCCAAGTGTCCAACCACAGGCCACTTGCCTGTGACCATGCGGAGCACTGAGTAGCCCCTCCATTAACAGCCGGCTCGTCTCTGGTGTGCTTTAATGGTCTCCTGTCTTCTGCGCACAGGCGTGGAGCGGGGCAGGACTGTGCTCGCCTCCTTCCACGCCCACCGTGTGCACAACAGGGGCTGGTAGTGTGAATCGCATCACCACGCCCCGTGAGCCCCGATGACTGGATACCCGAGTGGATCCCACAGCCTCCACCAATGCCCTCGACGCAGGGGCAGAAGGGCCCGTGTCCAGGCCAAGCTGGGGTGCTCCAGAAATGACCCCGTCCATCACTGACCCCAAGAGCTGCCTTCTTGACGCTGGCTCGTCTCTGCGGGATGGAAGCCCTGTGCCCGCAGCCACGTCAAAGGAGGCCCCAAAGATCACGCAGAAGAATGCAGCCTGACTGGAGGCAGCACTTACGACGTCAGAGCTCGCTGACCTGACCTCGCTTGGGCTACCAGTCTGCACATCTGCTCTGCATGGAGGTGGGTGCCCAGGGCGGCTGACATCCAGACGCTCAGCTGGTGTGGTGAAGGGGGAAATCTCAGCAATTGCCGGGGTCGAAGCCCCCAGGGAGACCTGCCGCATGGGCYTGGATGACTTTGACGTCTGTTTTCTCTCAGGGCAGTGTGGACGGAGATCGGCCACTCAGAGTCCCTGGACTTCAGGTCCCTCGTTTGCTGAAATGCCCTGAAAGGGCTTTTTGTGTCAACTGCTGGGGATTTTTAAAGTCCCAGATCCTTTCCTGACCCCAGGGACAGCTGGGATCGATGGGCCACTGCTGTGACCTCAAGCAGGACGCAGCTGGCCCAGGGTCCTGCACAGGCCAGAGGCGGGGGGCACAGAGGTGAGGACTTGTGGCCCTGCCTGCCCTAGAGCAGCCCAGCAGCCTCTGTCCACTGTCTCTTGCATGTCCCTCTGAGGCCTATGAGGAGGAAGGAAGCCAGGGCTCAGCGCCCCCCCAGGGAGATGGACTTGTGCAGCCCGCAGCCCTGGGTGACAAGGTAGTCCTTAGTGCCAGAGACTGAGCAGCGGCTCCACTGAGCCACCTTGGATGGGCCGTGCCCAGGGGGACGACACCTCTGCAGCTCCTGATGTCCCAGGCAGGAGAGGACGAGGGTCSCAACTCTGCCATTCCCTTCTATCCCAACTCCAGCGATGGGAGGGCCCCTGCTCAGGGCACAACTTCCGGGCCACCCTCCTGGGGACGCGCCCTCACTGAGGCTCCTAGAAGCAGTGTTCCACCAGCTCTCTGGGTGCCCTCGTGCCCCGAGATGGCCTGCCGTCAACCCCTGCGGCCCACTGGAGCTCCCCTCCTCTTCCCCCGGCGCCCACCCCAGCCCCTTCCCCCACCCTGCCCTCTCTGGATGCTCCGAGGACCTCAGGTCCCACCCCAGCCTGCCCCGGGCAGCCCTCTCTGCCGCTCACCCCGGGAAGGCCCGGCTGGCGGACTGCTGCAGCCTCTGCTGGCCCCCCCGGCAGGGCTCATCCTGGACCCCAGCGTGGACAGGTGTGGGCTGCAGGGCCGGGAGGGACCTGGKTGTGCTGGGTCCTCCTCTGTATCCAGGCCCAGGGAGGACTGGGAGGGGAGAGGAGTTGGACGGGCCCAGGGATCGGGCAGAGCTTGCACTTTCTCCTTCCCCTCCCATGTCTAGTGAGACAGGAAAGGGCTTGTTGTCCCTTGCTGAGGGGACAGTGATAGAGGACAGAGTCCAAGATGGGGAGCAGCTGACAGCCAGGCACCTGAGAAGGGAGGCTGAGCGCGACCGCCCCAGGTCACTGCCCTGTGACCTCACCTGGCTGCCCTGGGTGACCCTGCCTTTCAAGCCACAGATCCTGTCAGTCCCGCCCCCCACCCCAAGCACCTGCCCCAGAGCGGAGGAGACCAAGACCTGGACGGGGGTTTTGTGAACATTCCCTGGGGACTTAGGGGTGCCACACCCAGTCACCACAGGTACACAGTCAGGGACAGAAAGAGCCGTCCTTGCCCCCCAGTGGCTGGGTGAGCCCTGTGTCCTAGGCCACCCCCTGRGGCAGCTCCCACCCCTCCCAGTGCACCCAGCCCCAGCCCCGCCTGCCCCCAGGCGCCTCCCCTGCTCACGGAAGGCTCCTTGTCACTGGGCTGTTTGTTTAAAGGCACAGAACCCCTGATCACCACCAGCAATATCTCAGGTCTGCACAGCCCTCTGGGGACGCAGTCTGAGTGTCATTTCACTGTTTGGCTGCTTTTTATTGGCTGTGGGACTGTTGGAAAGAAAATGAGGGCGACTTATCACGCCTGGAGGAAGCCTGCCACCAGCAGTGAATGGCTGTCACCAGAGGGGAGGGGACGTTGGGTGGGAAAGACACCGTGAAAGCAGGAAAGGGAAACTGTGAGGAAAACGGTCTCCGCACTCTGTGGTAGGGACAGAGAGGCCCAGAGCAGAGTCCCCAGCAGAGTCCCCCCATGAAGGTCCTGAAGAGGCCACCATCAACCACAGGCGGCCACATACCTACCTATTGGACGTTCTGCAGGACACTGGGAGGCTGTGAAGCTGTGGCCAGCAACAGCGCAGCACCAGGCTGGGTCCACGGGGTGCTGGCCTGCAGAGAGGGCTGCAGACGCCTGGCCGGCACGCGTCTTCCAGCACAAGATAGCACCGGGTGTAGACGCTCGCTCCTGAGCTGGGCACCCCAAGGACCCCAGAGCTTGGAGGACAGATGCCAGCGGGTTTCCAGAATAGCCCATAACACAGGGTGGGGCTGCAGCAGCGGGAGGAAGGAGGGAATTAAAAACCATCAATCACAGCACACACAGGAGTGCAGCAGGCCACCTGGGCCAATGCTGCGTGCACAGCTCAGCGGCATCCAGCAGGCCCAGCTGCTGCGCCCCATCCCCACACTCCACCCACAGCACTCCTCCTTCCCCAGCCCCTGGCAGCCACTGCCCTACGTCTGTGTCTATGAATTTGAACACTAGATAAACGGAGGGAGATTTGTAAGAAATGCTTTATTTCGGAGCAGTCATAAACTTACAGAAAATCTGCACGGTGCTCAGCGGTTCCCCTGCACCTCACAGCCCGTGTCCCCTGCTGTCAGCGTCAGGAGTCGGCTGCCGATCTGCGATAAAGAAGGGACCCTTCAGATGGGATACCATCCACCAAAGCCCAGGCTGAACTGGACCTCCTCAGCCCTCACCTGAGGTCCTCCCAGGTCCCACGTGACCTGCAGCTCTCAGACCTCCTTAGGATTCTTGAGGCTGGGACAGTTTCTCAGAGTTTCCTTGTCTCTTGTGACCTTGACAATGTTGAGGAGGGCTGGTCAGGTCCTTGCCGGGCACTGATTTTCCCACCTCAAAAAAAAGAATCTCATTTTATTCCTCCTAATTGTTGGCTCTGTTGACACCTTGTCCCTCGCCCCCCACATTTACAGAACCTCCCATCTCAAGCACATGTCCAAGGTTCCCCAGAGGAGCAGTGAGTGGACACAAGGAGCAGGCCTGAGGACTGCCCCATGTGTCCACCCTTTCAGCGTCCCAGCTACTGGGTTCTGCCCTCTGGCTGCCCTCGAGGGTGCTGGCCACAGGACATCTTCCCCTCCAGATCTCTTCTCGAGAAGGTGCCCTGAGCCCCCAGGGTCCCCTCCCTCCCACTGACCATTCCTACGTTCACCTCAGAGGGCCCAGCATCTGTTTTGGGGCTGAGCTCCTGGATTCAACCAGGGACGGGAAGTTTCACCAACCTCTCAAGAGCTCGTCAATCCTGCCCGCCTTCTCCCTGCTTAGCCCTCCCATGAGCCAGAGCTGGGTTTTCCCCCTGAGTCCACACAGGTCACACTTCTAAGCTTCCAGTTGGCTATGGCAAAGCGGATGGCTAATTAACCATGCCGCCCAGCATGCCCTGTCCACCAGCCTGGCTACTGGTAAGCCAAGCCGTGCCTCACCTCACCTACTAAGCAGCAGTAGCCAGTTCTTCGCCTCTGCTCTGCCAAGACTCCAAGAACCAGCATTCCGCAGGAAGCCTTGGCTCTAGAATTGTTTTGAGATCAGACACGTTGGGGGGGGGGGATTCCCCTTCTCAGGTCTTCTGTAACATCACATGGGAGGCTACACACTGCAAGGAAACAAGAAAGAGATTAAAGGTACACAGTTTGGAAAGGGAGAAATAAAACTGTCCTTGTGTACAGAGATATGATCATTTATGTAGAAAACCCCAAGGAATTGACAAAAGTTCCTGGAGTGAATACCTGATTATATAGAGACATTGCACAACGCAAAGTTRATTTACAAAAGCCAATTGGTTTTCTATATTCCAGCAAAGAACAAATGGATTTTAAAATTAAAAACACATTACCATTTATATGAGCACTCCCAAAGGGAAATATTTTTACATGAGCCATATGAGGAATGCTATGTGACTCTAACAAAGGACATCTCCTGAGAACTAAATCAGTGGACATCCCATGTTCATGGATAGGAAGATTCGATGTGGCCAAGACATCAGTTCTTCCCAACTTGATCTACGGATTTGAAGCCATCACAATTTAAATCTCAGTGTTGTGGTTTGAGTCTCTAATGTCTCCCAAAGGCTGGGTCCCCAGTGCAGCAGAGTTCAGAAGAGGGGCTTTGGGGAATGATGACATCATGAGGGTTCTAACGTCATCCATGAATCGACCCATTGATGGACCCATAACCTGACGGGACACAGGGAGGTGACGGAAGCTACAGGAGGTGGGGCCCAGTGGAGGGGAGAGAGTCCTGGGGACTGTGCCCTTGGGAACCACACTTTGTCCCTGGACACTCCCTCAATCTCTCCTTCTTTTCCTCTCTGTTTCCTGGCTGCCAGGAGGGGAGCCCATCTCTTCTGCTGCACACTCCCCGCCATGAAGTGCCGCTTCCCCAAAGGCCCGCAGCGTGGAGCCAAGTGTGGGCTGAGACCTCTGGAACTGTGAGCCAACAAACCTTTCTCCCTTAAGTTGGTTTCTCCCGTATCTTTGTCACCGTCGTGGAAATGTGATGGCACACTCAGCAAGTTATTTTGTAGTCATCAACACACTGATCCTAGAGTCTAGCTGGAGAGGCAAAAGGGACACAGTCTGAGGACTGTCCATACCTAGCTCCAAGGTTGACCGTAAAGCTACAAGTCAGTGTGGGATTGGAAAAACAAAGACAAATGATAAATGGAACAGAAGAGAGAGCCCACAGTGGACCCCCCATAGATACAGTTAGCTCATCTTTGACAAAAGGGTAGAGTTGAAATAAGGAGCAAAGATTGTCTTTTCAAAATGGTGCTGGCACAGCTGGATGTGAACACAGACCTTCCCCCCACAGAAATCAACCCCAAAGGGATCAGGGGTCGAGATGTGCAATGTAAAACTTACAGAATTCCCCGCAGATAACAGGAGGAGACCCAGGTGAYTTGGGTCTGGTGGTAACTTTTTAAACAGCAATATCAAAGGTACGATCCATGGAAGAGAGAACTGATAAGCTGACTTCATCAAGATTAAAAACCTGTGCAAGATTAAAAACATGTCCAAAAAATGAGAAAACCATCTATAGACCGGGAGAAAATGTTTGCAAAAAAATGCATCTGATAAAGGACCGTTACCCACATCATGCCCAGGACTCTCATTCAGCAGTAAGAAAATGAGGAGAGAACAAGAAAACCTCACAACGCCTCACCAGACACGCAGGACACCAGGGAAGTGCCAATGCGATGCCAGCACAGCCCCGTCAGGGCGACCAGATCCAAGACACGGCCGCTCCAGGGCCAGCGAGGATGTGGAGCGGCAGGACCCTCACGCATTGCAGGAGAGAGTGGGAAAGGGGCGGCCCCTGGGGTCAGCAGGTACCAATCACAAGGCCAGGAGCAGGGCCTGGGCGGCTCACCCTCTGCCCAGCTCAGGCTGGGCCAGTGGACCTGGGTTCCTGGGTGGTGGCTGAGCCCAGCTACGCAGACCCTGTGCCCAGGCCTGCGGGAGGGGAATGAGAACCCACTGAGGGATGAGGACCCTCCCAAGGGCGTATGTGGTCTGTGAGTGAACAACTGCAGCAGTGATCTGTACCTGGGGAGCCCCTTTCAGCCTCTGTGCCTTGGGGTGTGGAGAGGGTGGCTGGACRTCTCACCAGGGAGCTCCCGTCAGTGGCACGGCTACAGACCGTCACTGGGTCTAGACGTTAGGCAGCGTATCATCAGCGTTTGTTGCTATAACTGAATACTTGAGGMGGGCTGCTGACAAAAGGAGATTGTTCAGCYCACAGTTTGGGAGGTTCAMAATGGGGTTCCTGCGTGGGCCCAGCTCTGGGAGGGCCTTCTTGGCTGTGCCACCTCTCGGCAATGGCAATGGCGGAGCCACCACATCTGGAAATGGGAAGCCTGGGAGGCTGGGTAGGGCCAGGCACAGGCTTCTACAGTAACCTGGTCTCGCAAGGGTTGGGCACACCACAGGGACCAGGTTCCACATCCCCCCTGGGGCCACCCCATCAACCCCAGCAGGCAGGTTTCACAGGTGACGATACGGGAAGAGCAAACCAGGAGACCAGCAGTGGGCGCGGTGTGAGGGCCGATACGGCCCGGATGCGGGGCCCCTCAGCGTGTGCAGCCCTGACCCCGCGCAGGGGTGAAGCAGGTGGGGGCTCTGGGGGGTGGCTCGCGAGTCTCACAGGAGGGCTCAGCACCCTGATAAAAGAGGCCCGAGAGACCCTCATCCTGGCACCATGTGAGGAGGCAGCCGGAGCAGGAGGAAGAGGAAAGGGGCGGCCTGCATGTGGGGTGGACGCGGAGGGCCCCGTGGGCAAAGCCAGGAGGTGCCGGAGGGGGRAGAGGGAGCCCTGGGGCGCAGGGCCCCTGCACAGGCCACACGGTGTCCAGAGGCAAGACTGGGTGCCGGGGCAGGGGAGCGGAGGCAGCTGGGCTGGGGGAAGTGGTCACCTGCTGCTGAGCTGCCCTCTGGAAAGCAGGACCACCTCATTGTGCTTTGGGTCTTCAACCCTCTAGGCTGATGGACTGACGRCGGCTGAGCACGGTTGGCAAGGAGAGGCCTGGCTCACGGGAGCTGAGGTGGCGCCCTGTCTCCGTGGGACCTGGGTTCTCGACTCTTTCGTGGGAGTAGAAGATCCCGGCCCGAGACGTTCCGAGGCAGTGGGCCATCCCCCACCGTGAGCCTCCTCTGYGGGGTCCGTGGAGGGCACCCACCCTCGGTCTCCGGGTCTCTGTTGTCCCCGGGGCCAGCGCAGGGCAGGTGGCAGCCGGCCCGCAGCCCCCACCCCTGCACCCGGGCTCCTGGCGCTCCCTCCTTCCCTGTGCAGCGCGGAGGATACTTGACTAGTTGCCAAACATTCTATTTTGGTCTCTGAGCTCATGTGAYGGAGCCGTGACAAGGAGGCCGCCTTTCACACCCGCCGAGTCACGGGAAGGCTCTGATGTGGGTATTTTTGGTGTGGGTCAGAACTGTGCTGTTTCTAAATGTTCTCTTTCTCCTCCCCTAAAACCAGCAGGAGGCCCGGAGAGGAGGCAGCTGAACTTCCGAAAGGGGGTCWCAGAGGAGCCTGAGGCAGGGTCTGGGGGCCCCCTGCAGGTCGGGGTGTCCCCGGCTTCCCTCCAGCCCTCCTCCAACACRGGCTCCCCACACACTGACTTTGTGAGCTAAACGTTCCTCAGGCCACAATCCCTGGTCTTCTAAGTGACACTGATTGAGAAACCTGAATGGGCGGCYGTGTTCATGAAGGACACTCAGCACTGACCGGCACTGAGGTTGGGGCTTGCATGTTGAGGAGGAGTATCCTGGATTAATAACCTCTGAGGCCTGGGGACCCCCCAATAGCCGGCAGGGAGGCCTCCAGGAAGAGCAAAGAAGTCGATGCGGTCAATTATTTGTCATTTACAATTTAAATAAACCCCGTGATCCCATTAACATCTCAGTCAGAATTGCACGAGCCCCTGTGTGGGGTGTGCAGTTGTTTTTCTGGGACCAGGCCAGCTCCTTCCTGGACTTCACCCGGAAGGACTGGGAGGACTGGGGCTTCTCAGCTGTGGGCTGTGTCCGGAGTGGACTGGACCCAGGAAAGGAATCCAGGAAGTGAGGGTGGAGCGGAGGGTGCCAGGGGGTGCAGACAGGGAGGAGGCGGCTCAGGGGGGCAGCTGCAGGGCAGGTGGGGCAGCAGGTGAGGAGGAGGGTGTTAGAGGACCACCCTGTAGCCGGCCAAGCACAGGCCCCAGCAGGAGCGCTCAGGGCTCTCCTTTTACCACAGTCCGACCTCCACCTTCTGTCACCTGCCTGGAGTAGAGTTCTGAGCCCCTGAAGGCGCACGTCRGGCAGGGCGTGGTGAGAGAGGAGTGGCCCCTCATGGGCCACTGGGCGGCTTGGGCTGTCCAGGGAAAACTTTCTGGAAAGTCTCATGTGCTTTTTTTTTTCAGTATTGTTTTCAAAGGACCAGCAGCTGGCAAYCGACAACTATTGAAAGGAGAAAAGATGATTACCAAATCAAAGTGGCACGCCAGCCGTGTGCTGCGGGGACCCGAAGAAGGCATCAGAGCCTTTCCACCTCTGTGAGTTGGGATTCCACCCCTCTGTGTGTGTGCATCTGGGCGTGTGCCTGCGTGTGTGTACGTGTGGGTGTGTGCGTGTGCTCTGGGGACCCACAGCCTCAGGGGTCGAGGAAGGCCTGTTCACACAGAGAGACTGCGGAGAGGGGCCCGCATGGACCCCCTGGGTGGTTTGCACCCCGAGAGGAAAGTCCACCAAGAGTTGGCAAGAAAGACCCTTGTCCACCAAGGGACATCGGGGACTCCCCTCCAGGCTCCCCTGGCCTTCCATCAGGAGTCTGGCCTCTTTGTCAGGAGTCAGGACTTTTCCAAAGCCTTGCTCTCGTTCTCCACGGTGAGAGTCAGAGATGGCCCAGTAACTTGGTGCTGACACCGAGGTGTCCCCAGGAGAGTCCTTCCCGGCCTGCCTCCGGGTCACACAGCATGGGGCCAGCTCTGATGGTGCTGGATCTTCCACCTGAGGATGCCCTTGGGGAGCTGGAGATAACCGTGGACCTCCCTGGATGGCTACCCAGGAGGGCTACCCCACGCACACTCACAGAATTCTGCAATCAAGTCAGTGGCCCCGTTGGGCCACCCAGGGCTGGGCTGCCCAGTGGAACCACTTAGGTGGCCACTGTCCAACATGGCGGCACCAGCCACGCATAGTTGTGAATACTTGAAGTACAGCCAGTGCAGGTGACCAAAGGCACCGGGGAGAAGTCCACTTGGGGAGTCACAGCACATCTGTTAGGACCACAGCATCACGGAGCCTTGTGGCTCCCGGGTGCAGGACAGGCCCTCTTTTGAGGATTTGTTAGACAACCACCCCCCAGAGAGGGCCAAGCACAGGCCCCAGCAGGAGCGCTTGCGACTCTCCTCTTACCACAGTCTGTCACCTGCCTGGAGTGAGGTGCTGAGCCCCCTGAAGGCGCACTTCAGGAAGGGGTGGTGAGAGAGGAGTGGCCCTCATGGGCCCACGGGGAGCCCTCGGCTCTAGCTGGCCACATAGCTGGAGAAGGGTGGGCTTGGGGGCAGCAGGTGTAGCATGGAATGTTCTGGACGAGCTTTGGTCATGGGGAGAAGGAGGCCAGAAGGAGAAAGCAGTCAGGGCGGGTCCCAGCCAGGGGCAGCTGGCACCAGGAGGTGAGCGGGGAAGGCCACCGCCCTCTCCTCCTCCCCCCAGGCACCCACCTGCAGCCCCAGAGCCACCAGATCATGTGGCCTTCCAGCATCGGCAGGGGATGGCCTCTTCTGAAGCCAGTCGACTGCCCAGCCTTGCCTGTTGGCATTGAGTTCCAGGCTGTGCCGGTGACCTGCCCAGCCCAGGGGCAAAGCCGTGACCAGCTGGTGGCTCCAGGTGGCCTGCTGGTGGCTGGGCAGGAGGGGCTTCTAGCTGGGGGAGCGAGGAAGCCAAAGCCAACCCCAGCCTTCTCAGGGGCAGGTCCACTTGGAGAGGCCAGGAGCGGCCCCCAGCCCCAGTGACGGGGAGCACCGCAGCCTGGAGCAGGTGGCTTGTGGGCAGCTTGACTCTGGCCCACAGCCTGCGTGGTCATCGCAGCAAGCCCACAGGGACAAGGACACCAAGGCCCAGGAGGCTCAAGGGAAGGTGGGGCTCACAGCCTCACTCCGGGGACAGAGGATCCAGGCTCTGACCAGGCTCCAGCTCACACAGCCAGTGACCCAGGCGAGTCCCTCACCTCACCGTGCCTCAGTTTCCACGGCTGTAAACTGCTCAAGCCTGGGCCTCGTCAGACCCTCCTCGGACGTCCCTGTTCACACACACCGGAGCCTTCAGCGAATCCCTGTTTGAGAAACAGGGAAAACTCAACCAACCTCAGAAGCCGCACATGGTCTGCTGCTGGAGCTGCTGGGGCTTCCTGGCCAGAGGAGGCAGGCAGCAGTGTCCCCTCGGCCTCCTGACCCCGAGACCGGTGCTCTCCCTGGGACAGAGTTCCCAGGTAGGGAGCCTTGGGATGGCCCTCCTGGGCCGGACCAGCCTGCCCGGGTCAGTCTAAGCACAGGTGCCCAGGCGGCTGCTCACAGCACAGCAGGGAAGATCCGCTGCCCAAGGGCCTTGACCCAGAGGGGGCGGTCCTTCCTCTCTCCCCAAGGGCAGGGTCAAGGCCAAGGGGCTGGGCACGGGGCTTCCAGCCTCCTGTTTGAGGTCACCAGCTGAGTCAGTGGGTGCTCACCACCTTCTGGACCCCAGGTGACACCCTTGTTCAGAGAAGAAAAGCCAGGGGCCATGAGGGAGGGGGGACACCCCTCCAGGCCAGAACCCTCCAGGCTCTCAGGGGACACAGCCAGAACGCATCCAGGAGAGCCCTGCCTGCCAACCAGAAGCCCAGGGGACTGTGCATGGAGTCCTGGCTTCTCCAAGTGGAAGGAGGTTCTCCTCCCAGGGGCGTGGGGCAAAGTGCCTGCTGTCCCCTCCAGCTGCGTGCTCAAGTCCTTGGGCCTGGTGACCAGGGCCAGCCATCACGTCAGTTGGAGTTCTTCCTGGGATCTGGCCTGTGGTAGGGACTGAGCTGCATTCCCCCAGAGTCCACCATGGGCGTCCTCGCCCGCCCTTGCTRCCTCCGAATGTCACTCTGTTTGGAAATAGGGTCCTCACAGATGTCGCTGACCAGGACAAGGTCACAAGGAGTGATGCAGACTTCCTTCCTCAAAGGCTCGCAGAACACAGCCCGTCACCCAGGAGAAGCCGGGGGAAGACRAAGGGGAGGCCGGGCTGCTTGTCCCTCCAGCCAGGCATTCTGGGGACTGCAGCCAACCGCCAGAAGCTGGGAGAGAAGCCGGGACGCTCTCTCCTCCCACCGAGGGAACGCGCCCTGCCGACACCTCCGCTCACACCTCTGCCCTCCAGACGGTGAGAGCAGACGCTGCCTGTGAGCCACCATCTGGCATGGAGCAGGCACAGCTTCCTGCAGCTCGGGCCGGGCAGAGCCAAAACTCCAGGGCCCGGGGGCCGCCAGGGACAGTTGTGCAGCTCACGCTGGAGCACTGAGCAGCCAGCTGTGCTGAGGAGGAGCCCGGGCACMCTGGTGGCCCCCAAATCCTGTCCCCTTCCCCACAGCTCCAGGGACCAGCCCTGCCCTCCCCTGGACTCCCTCTTGTCYGGCCAGCTCCCTTCTCCATCTGCTGGGCGTGGGCACCCTCTGAGGGTGGAAGTGACAGGGGACAGCAGGAGCTCACTGTGGGAGCGTTTTGATGAGGGTYGTCTTCAGCRGTGGACTCCTGAAGGCCAGGGCAGSCTCCCAGAGCTGAGCACTTTCCCGGGGCCCATTCTCTTCTCCTGGTTTCTGGCCCCCGGCAGCCCCCGAGACGTCCACCAGGGCAGACACACTGCCGGTGTCCTRTCCCCAGGCCACTCCTGGGCAGAAGCTCTGCAGCTAGGGCACAGGACTGCTCCCCAGTGGAATGGACGTGGACCCAGGTCTGCTTGGGAACACCACAGGTGGCCTCTGTCCCTGGATGGTGACATTCCTGCTGTGCAGTTGGTGGAAGAAGGGAAATGGAAGCCTCCGGGCCTTAGACCACACGATCGTGATGCTGAAACTGCAGACCCTGGACCCCGGCCTTGACTCTGGCTCCT